ATATGAAAATTACAAACCTTTGGCGGGTAGTAGTATAAACATTCCAAATAATAGCATGATTTGTTGCGTGATATTTGGCATTAATAACACTCGTGATATTTCAAAGTTGTCTCAAATTTCACTCGCCGTTACGTATAAGAATTTCGAAATATGACTCGTGGTATTCATGCCAAGTATCACTACAAATCATGCTATTACCTATATTATACTACTACAGGAGAAATTTCTGCAATTTGATTGGCTTAGAGCAGTGGTATTTCAGCTTAATTTGAAATAACTACATGTGAAAATTACAAACCTTTTGCGGGTAGTGGTATAAACAGATAATAGCATGATTTGTGTGTGATATTTGGCATTAACACCACTTGTGATATTTCAAAATTGTCTCAAATTTTGAAATATCACTCGTGGTATTTATGCCAAATATCACTACAAATCATGCTATTACCTATACTAAACCAGGACTTTTTCTCGACTCTTAATTTCACATCCATAAAATGCGTTTCTGAACCCTTTCTGGTCCTTTCACAGACCGAAATGTCTTATTTCCCTCCCTTTCATGTACTTCACAACCAATGAAATCCCAACCACTTCCTATACCTGAAGCCCGAAAAGAGGTATACCTTTCTCAAAGGGTTCTTATTTTTATTTTTCAGAGGTTGTCATAGTGTAACCATTGGTAGAAATATTTTACTACTAATACATAATGGGAAACATTCAAAGTCCAAGAAGAATATCAATACATTTCTATATTTTTTAAATGAGATATTAAGATTTTAAAACGTCTGTATTGCATGGTAGCTTTATGGAAAACATACTTCTAGTGAGAATCCAAGCAAATTTAAATCAAAGAAAACATATACACAATAACCTTTTGTCAAAAGTTTCTCACACAATTAAAATCGAGAATTTTGACCATCAAAATAGGAGTGATTGTTTTGTATAAGAACCTATTTTTCTTTGCCAGGCTTCACAGGTTCAATTCTTATATTTTTGGGTATTTAAATGCCAAATTTCAGCCTCTACGTTATTAAATCACTAAATTCTTATACGCGGGTTTTTACTGTATTTACATCTTTAAAACATCAACGATTACCTTGTTGACACTCCTTATAGGCCAGTTCCCAATCATTAAAATTTATACTTGGTTCCAAGGCTGAGGGGTGCAATAAATACTACTTATTAACAGAGAGTTAGGTCATTACAGGGAAATCTCAGACCAAGTCAGATGTATTGACCGTGCGATAGCGACGGACAAGGTTAATAAGTTATTTATTATAATAGCCTTTTATTATGGACCTGAGCCTGCGATCAATGAAAACCAACGACTGGCTAGCGGATAACTACCAAAAACACGTCACCTCAATGAGTTGTACACTTGAGTCCGCAATACAGTCAGGTGCCACTTGTGAGCGGATGCTCTTTTTGACAGCTGTCAATTGACCATAACATGGATGTCCATCAGGATGTCCACTATAAAATTCTCGTGACAACAATTTATAATTCAAAGACAGCATTAATATTGGAACTATATCATAAAAAAGTTTTAAAGTTTTAATTAGTCTCTTGTATCACTGAATTGTTCTCTACTCAGGTATGGAAATGCAACGGGCTCGTGGTTTGTTCCCACTCTTAAGTAAGTTATGAACAATTGCAATTGATGTAGTGTAGGTGAAATACTCGAAGTCGTTTTTTTGTTCTTTTTTTGTTTGTTTCTTCGTCAAATCTACTCATAACTGAATGTACGGGTTTATAACTTGTACTGAAAGGGTCTATGTCACGAGGATGTTGCTGTTTTTGGTCAATTATGTGCTTACTGCAAAATTTAGCCAAAAGCAAATTTTGACCAAATTTCCAAATTTCCTTTTGTGAAATTCTAAAAAAGAAATAGCATTCTGTGAAAGTAGAGGCAGAGAGCTTTCATTTGAGAGGCCACAACATAGGATTTTGTCCGCAGACTCAAAAGTTACATTAACCTTACAAAACTCCATCAAGCACTCTGGCAGTGAAAGGGTTAAGTACAAATATTCTCCATTAGAGAAATAACGAAGATATCAAGCAAATCTCAGCAGGCAGCATTACCCATCACAATTTTTTGGGTGATTTTTGCAGGCATAGCGTTAAAAAAAAAAAAAAACTTCAAAAAGTTGGGCCAACACTGTCTTAATCCGTGTTCATCCTTGCCATCCTTTGTTACAGACGAAAGGAAACGGTTTCAATGCTTAAAAATAGTATAAAATAACAAAGCTAGACCATTCTATTGATTCGAGTTCAGGTATAAGCATTTAAAAGATAGCAAATAGCATGACAAACACCTTTTAAATACATAATTCTCACTGTTGTTGTTGTTGTTGTTTTTTTTAATGCAAACAGTATCAGAAATTATGTTTATTGTCTTTTAATTAACAGTTACATGTACCTGGGTGTTGATGCTTGTATCTTCAACAGTGGTGTCGCAACAATCAGGTACGTTATTTTCAGATGATCTCATCGAGATACAACGAACATTACAGTCGAACTTTCACGTGTGTCTGTCTCTTGTAAGCGACATTCTCGTCTAAGCGACCGTGTATCCGAACTACCAAAATTTTGTCAGTTAGAGCCCTGTTCTTGGAACCGCTCGAAAACGAACACCTCTTATAAGCGACCGCGACCACCTTTTGCCTTCATGGTTTAATACGTTTCCGCATTTTTGAACCCCCTGTAAGCGACCACTTGACGCGCGACCACTCAATGTTCGCTGTACATACCACACCACTTAGAGTAGTTTAACATGGAACAACACGTATACGTAACTTGAAAATTGCATTCAGTTAACGGTAACTCTCTGCTCTGCCAAAAAGAGGTTGTAAAAACATGCCCCCTGTGATTTATTATTCGTTTACTGGAGGTCAAGAAGTTTAACTGCATTTTACCAGGCGGAGTTATAATCCGTGCCCAATTTCTTTCTACAAGAGGATAATCTGTATCTAGAATAATTTGGCTCAGTATTACAACAAATAAAGCTAATTCTCGTCGAACTGATTTGGCTGATTTGTTCTGGTGTTATTTCTTCAGGCAGCCGAGACATATTTTGTGTCATCTGACTCCGAAAGAAGACAATGCAAGGAGGGTTCTCAATGCATTTTGTCGAAAAATTGAGAGAATTGTAAACTTTTAGACAACAAGTAGTCCCCATTTCAACACACGCGCGCTCACGTTTCGCTCGCTCTACTGTTCCTGAGGAAAAATGTGGACTACTCGTAGTCTAGTAAACTTTTCAAGGATAAAATTTATGGGGACGAGGTCTGGATGTGAACATATGAATTGCTCACGGCACCGGACGAATTTCCGACCGGTTGAATATCACCATCGTGCGTTTAGGAGATCCGTTAACAGAACCGTTCAAAAATTTGAACGCCAAAACCGAGATAAGGCCGTCTAAATTTTTGTACAGACGAAATTGACCATTCCTGTGTCAACGCCATACGCGTCTAAATGTTTGTTAGGCAAGCGCGTGGTTGAAACATTCAAGCTGCTTCGTCGGTTCCATGTGCCAAAAGCAGAAATACTTAAATAGGGTCACCAAATAACGTAAACTACGTCATTGCTTCTTATCAGATGTAGGACGCCTTTTTTAAGTATATGCGTTTAAAAGTTACTTAGTTGATAGTAAGTTTTCTGTTCGCAGCTTGTATCACTGGCGAAAATCTTCATGGTCTCAGTGGATTCTTTTCAAGTCCAAATTTTCCAAATAGCTTTCCACTGTACAGCAGATGTGTCTGGAATATCACAGTTCCCAGCGGATACATCATTAAATTCAGCTTCCTCAGCTTTCGACTGGGACTAACTCCGTACAGTCAATGTTATTTCTTGTATGATCCAGAAGCCCGTGTTACAGTCACAAATGTTGCTTCAGATGATGGTTATCAACCGTTCATGCTGTGCGGTCAGCAACTTCCATATCCAGTGTACTCAGTGGGGAATTCAATGCAAGTTATATTCACGTCTTTGAGCAGTCAATACCCAGGGTTTAATGCAACTTACACGGCTATCACTTATAGTTCAGGTACGTGGTGTACATTATTTTTTAAAACATCAATGATTGAGTTAAGATTAAAAAAAAAAATGACCACCAACAACTGGCCCTATAAAAAGTAATCCAAGAAAGTCTTGGATTCTGTATTCCACGCTTTGGATTCTGGGTTCCAAGTACTGGATTCTGGATTCTAATCATAAGTAGGATATTGGATTCCTTGAGTAGAATCACATATTCCAAATCCCAGAATTCCACATTTCACAAGCAAATTGTGAAAAAAGGATACGAAAACATTTTAATTTCCGTGCTAATGATCTACACACTAGAGCTTAAGAAAAACGATTCAGTGCTATTTAATGAAATCAGGATGTGGAGATGTTATTTCCGAAAATGGTATACATCACATTTTGGTATGAACTACGAACTTGGAGTAATAAACATTTTAACAAGGAGGTCTTATTATGCACCACTGATTTTATAGCACGATTATCATTTCTATTAGACCTGTAAGAGTAAATTGTTTTGGACAACTTAACTTTTCTGCGTAGGTTTCAAGCATAAAAACGGGAATTCGAAAACATGAGTTTTGCATTTCCTTATAAGTTAACAGCACATCGTAAATGTCCAGAAAATATAGCCTCTGACTAAACTATTAAAGAACGATTTATCACTAAAGGCATAGAAAAGTCTCAAAATGTACACTGCATCTTTACTTTTCACATTTCTTGTTCCGTAAGGTATTATTTATGTTTAATTTTGAAAGTGTGCACGAGTCACCGCTAGTTAATTAAATTATCTGTGAGGAATTTTATAAGCAAACGTCAGCATCACCATGTACAAACGCTTAAAAAAGACCTGAAATCAGGTACCCAGCCCCAGAAAAAGCCGATTAACAATGTTTTTTTTCTCGTAACGATGTATGATTTTAGCATTTACACCAATTACATTTTGGTGACACAGCGTGGTGACTCAATATTTCATGTCACCATGCGTACACTACATCAATAGCACTGAAATCGAAACTCTCATCATGCATTTTCTCGTTTTCAACCAATTTTTCGCCTAAGAGATTTTAAAACAACAGGAAACCCATTTTAGGGAAGTACGCAGACTGACATTAATACAAATAATTCCAGAACCTCCTGTGATTATTTCTACCGGTTGTCGTTTATATTTTTACCTGACATGATTTCTTACATTTGATACGAGATAGAATAAACAATCTTGCTTAGAAACTGCACATTGGCAGCAAATTTTAAGCTACAGCTAGAATTGGATATGTTATTGTTATCTGTTAATGGAGGATGTATCTAATTTCGCTAGCAGTTGGCATAAATTGAAATCATCACCATCAGAATCGGTTACGTATTCATACTCAGCTTCATCAGCATTTTTGTCATAGTCACCACTGTCATCTTCTTCATAGTTGTCATCTTTGGGAATTTTCTCGCAACGTTCGCCCATGTCCGAAAAGCCACAGAGATCCATGTAATTCATGTTAGCCTTACTGCACTGGCAGCCCTTGGTGGTACACCTTTCCTTGACACATTTGCACTTCACGAGATGAATTATGGCCTCAGGTGCAGTGAGTATTGTTGTCATGACGGGAATCCACGCATTGTCGTCGCCTTTCCATTCCCAGCCGAAGTCCTTCGTTGTGGATAAGGCTGGATTGGGGTTCGTGTTACTGTTCCATACTAGTTATTGATAGTCGGGAGATCGTATCTATCAAATATAAGGAGGAACTCATCACTGTCGTAATACTTTTCAAAAATTCGGTATGCAAAGTGGTCTGGGACGTCAAAGCAGCCTCTTAAGGACTTTGGCTTATCTAGAGATTGTACCTTGCCATTGCATCGATGATAGAGACTCTTGTTCTTTCTGCCTGACTTGCATTATCTTGAATAGCAGCTGCCCTCTGTATTGGCCGGAAGCTTCTCTAGAATGGACAAAAGTGCACTTTTGGCCGGGCATTGTAGCATTTCTCCGTCTGGAGCGAACATAGATATCGGTACCACTGTAAATTCGTTCGTTCCAACAGCTTCTTGGATGTCGATCTCAGGTAGGCTTTTGCATATCACCATCATGTGCCCAAACAAATTTCAGTCTTCTTGTAACTCCACTATTTGACCGCCACTAGTCTGCGTAGCTGGCAGGATTTTTTTGCCCTGGGTACTTTTTTGGTGGCGGGGCCGCCACGCGAGTCGAGGAAGCCGCGAGGGAAAATTCCGAAACTGACTTGAATACCCACTCTTCTCGCGGCTTCGCCGCCAAAACAATAGCACTTCCACGCTAATCCCGGCAGCTACGCAGGCTAGACCGGCACTAGAAACCTTTATCTTCTTCCCCATGGTCTTCCATGTCTGGAGCTTTCTTTTCTTCATCGGAGACCAAAGATTGATGTTTCCTGACTTGTTGCGATCGTTCACTAAGGTCTCAAACAGTTTCTGGCCAATCTCACTCTTTTCCAAAAGATCCTTCTTGACCTTGCTTGGCATTACAACCTTTGTCACGACATGGAAAAGACCGTCGTTCTGCTCTATGAAGGGATTCGTGAAATTATGAATTGTGGTTATTACTTGTTCTATGTTTTTCTCTTCGCGAGAAATCGCAGGAGTTGACAAGGTGTGATGATGAGTACCTTCTTTTGCCAGAGTGGTCTCCGCCACTTTTTTCGCATCCTGGGCTAATCAAGCAAGCTCAGGAGCGATGAGAGAAAAATTAGTACGGGCTTTTGGATTCAGGGTGACACCAACTAGCCCCCCTGAGACTTTCATTTAGCAATTTATTTCCTCTAAAGCATGGTCTGCACCCAAAGCACAAAATGGCACACGCAGATTCTTGTTAACGACCCAATTACCTTCGAGGAATTCTTCATATTTCTCAGGGTCTGTTACTTGTAGCATCTGTATTTCAGCAAGGTACAGTGGAATCATTCTGGCGTTGTTATATAAGACGGTCATGAATAAAAAAGGTCTTTGTGAACGACTGCAGTGATGTAAGATGCAGCTGCTAGTGCCCTGTTCGGACCGCTCTAATGAACTGGAGTATCTCCATTATCATTCTCATTTAATATCCGAACACCTGGAATTCTGGAATCTGGCTATTTTCTTCCTCAGAGGTCTTCATTTTCCCGATCACATCTAGGGACTTTATGGCCTCTTCCATTCTTGCACTAGCTAATTGGACCTCTTCCTTGGGGCCCGCATCACAAGCACTTCCCAGCTGCCTTACGCATTCCTCGAGTTGCTCCACCTTCTGTGGATCTTGTTAAGTTATTAAGCTCTCTGGTATACTGGGTAAATAGGACCTGCAAGATGATCATAAGAGCTTCCTCTCCTCTCTTCGCGTGATTTCCATCAACGATTTGCTTCACCGTTTTGGGGCCATACAGCTCAGACGATCGATTCCACTATTCTCAATGAGCGAACCAAGTGTTCCAAGTTGTGCCCTGACAACGTGTAGCTCACCAGGACAAAGAATCATAAAACTGAGGTTGTTCCGAGGCATCTGAAGCTTCTTGGCTGGCTGGTACTCGTCTTCTATTTTATGTCGGGAAATAACTTGACAAGGCAAAAAGCTTTTTTAGCCATATTTTTCATGACCATTCCTGAAGGCTTGATACGGACAAACACAATAGATTTTTTAAGAACTGAAAATGTGCTAATATTCTGGATGGGCTTCCTGTGACTTTTTAAAAGCTCTAATTTTGTTACTCGAACAGGAAAAATTTGTGATATTCCTAAATCATCTTGTTAAAGAAAATATTTTCGTTTTCATAATCCCTGCAACCAACGAGGTAATTTTTTAAAAAAATTATGTCGATTTTGCAGGCATTATCAACTTTCAATCAACTACTCGGAGTCTCGTTTTCAAGTCCCAGTGGTCACGTGACCAGAAATTGATACATTTAGTCATACACTATTGCATAATTAACACATCCTGATAATCCTCAGCCTCGTTTCCACGCAGGGCGTTTGACATCGTTTCGTTTTTAAAAAAATGCCTTGTAAAACGCCTCCGTGGGGGTTGCAAAAGTGGCAACGTCATTTTTCTCCTTCTTTAAGGTCCCCGGAACACAACTAGCCTAGTTGCTTGCTTTCTTCACGAAACGCCCACGGAACCGGACATCTTAACATATGCTCTCGGACCATATCTTAGTATTTCATTAAAGCTGATAAACTAAGCCGTTTTTAGATGGATTCTGGGATATTGAGACGACAGTAAAGAAGTGCCCTTGAAAATATTAAGAGGGAAGGGAAAGATCTGCTTTATCAAGATATTAAGGCGTTAAAAAGAATAAAATGTTTGAATATTTTTCAAAAATACTCCAAGAGATATATATGTTATTCACCGGCTGGGAGGTCGACCGACCTAAGCCGGTGAATAACATTTTTAGATTTTTCCTACTGAGATTGCTTGGAACTCCTGTCGTACAAAAGTTTCAGGAAAATCTTCCTTCACTCTCCAACCCATTTGTGTTGAAGTAGGACGCGTTCATGTTGATGAAGCGCGCGATCGATCGCAAACCAAGCAGATGACCCAACACTTTTTAGTAATTACAGGCCAATATCAATTCTTCCAGCCTTTTTCAAACTCTTTGAAAAAGTCATGTACAACCGACTGATTATTTTTTTAAATTGCATAATATCTTATACTCGAAACAATTTGGATCCCGTAATAATCATTCGACAGCATTAGCATTAATTGAGTTGATCAACAACATATCTTCAGCTATCGACAGAAATGAAACAACCTTAGGCATCTTCTTAGATCTTTCTAAGGCGTTTGATACAATTAATCATGAAATATTGTGTCAAAAACTGCAACACTATGGTATTCGGGATACTGCTTTGGCGTGTATCAAAAGCTATCTTGATGATCGGACACAATTTGTCCAGTTTGGATCCCATCGATCTTATTTTATGTGGCGTCCCGCAGGGCTCAATTCTTGGACCTCTTTCGTTTATTATTTACATTAATGATCTTCCTAATGCCTCTAGTCTCACTCAATCCTTACTGTTTGCTGATGACACAAGTATCTTTTGTTCCCATAAAGATGCCAACCACCTCGTTTCTATTGTTAACAATGAACTTGCAAAAATAATTATTTAGCTTAAAGTGAATATGTTATCTCTAAATTTGACTAGAACAAATTTTATGATTTTTCATCCAAGGCAAAAGAAAGTCAATGTTAATGTCCCTATTACTCTGGAAAATACTGTGATCAAGCAAGTCACGGAGACAAAATTTTTAGCTGTTCTTATTGATCAGCATGTCTCTTGGAAACCACGTATTGATTTCGTCTCCAAAAAATTTCGAAAAGTGTGGGAATTATTGCGAAAGCCCGCTTTTACCTATCATCCCAAACTTTGATGACCTTGTATTACTCCCTTGTATATCCTTTCTTAACATACTGTAATGTCGCCTGGTCCTCCACCTACTGTTCCAACCTAAACTGTTTTTACCTTTTGCAAAAGCGTCTAGTGCGGCTCATAACAGAAGCTCGCTATCTAGCAAATACCGCCCCTTTATTTAGCCAGCTTAAAGTCCTTGACATATTTAGTATTAATTCATTTTCTGTCGCTACCTTTATGTATTCTTATCAACATAATCTTTTGCCTAGTAGCTTTGATGACTTGTTCTTAAGTAGTAATCAAGTCCATCAATACGAAACTCGACTAGCCTGTCAGTATAGACCTCATTTTTGTAGAACAAATATAAAGCAATTCAGTATCCTTTACCGAGGACCTAAAATCTGGAATTCGTTGCCTGTTTCACTAACTAGCTCTCCTTCTATATTTGTTTTTTTTTTTTTAAATTAAAGAATTATCGCCTGACAGCCGATCTCTCGCTTAATTTTCTGATCTTGTTCACTCTGCACTCAACCATGAATTTAGTTCACTAGGTAGTTGAAGGAAGCCTATTGATATCAGCTTCAAGCTTCGTTAGGCTTCCTTGTCACATTAATTTTATAATTTAATTAACAACTTCTATTCATATTGTATAAGGTTTTGTGAGTGACTAAATAAATAAATAAATAAAATACAATAAAATAAACCAAAACAAAACATTACAACATGATTTTTAGCTCGGTAATTTATATTATGGCACTTATTGCTCTCTTTCAGAATAAAGAAAGGTTTTTGTGTCTTGCTAAACAATTCATAATCTTAGTGTTAAACAAGGATAAAGGAAAACTGCACAAAGTCTTTGTAAAAAGAGCTAATTATACATACCAATTTAAAGGTTTTGAATTGAATTCGAATAAAAGAAGGCGGCGATCGATGTGAGTAACAATGGGCTATCGCATTTAATATCCGTACCCCCCCAGCTGATTGGCTAAAATTGCATTCACCCCTGAAGACTTCCATAAAATATGGGTTTACCCCTGAAGAATTGGGTTATATCCCTAAAGAATATGGGTTTACCCCTGAAGAATTTTGTGAAAATGAAGGCTTCACCCCCAAAGAATTCCATATTTTTTTACTCTACCCCTAAAGAAATCCTCAATTTGTATAACGTACCCCTGGAGAATTCCATGATTCCTCAACCTGGAGCGGAAGGGGGGGGGAGGCGGATATTAAATGTAATAGCCCAATGCAAGTTATAAATAAAGAAATGAAAACGGCGATAACCGACTGCTGGAAAAATGATTCGTGTTGTTTATTGAAGATTGAAGGCTAAATGCAATCATTGAAAACAACTTTTTCTGATAAGTAGAAAACTAGCGAGGCAAAAATTCGATAAAAAACGGCAGAATCTGAATTCTTACAATAAAAATGGAAAACAAAACTTCAAACAGAAGAAAACTGTCCAATAAACGCACAGGCAGCCCGAACTCTGTGGAGTTCGTTGGACTTTGAATTTATAAGAGAATGTATGAAAATAAACAAAATACGTCCTAAATCCCAATTTTGGACAAAAATAGAAATAAAAATGACTTACCTTGTGTTTGTGTTTTGTTATTTACTGTCTCTCCACCTCTTGAGCCATTTCCATTTGGAAGCCGTTTTATCGAAGTTTAAGGTTTTGAGTTGTACTAACAGTAACAAAAATGGGAAGGCTGGGGACTCTGAAGCCGACCGTTCCAGCTCAAAGCTCCATAAATCCGATAAAATTGGTCCAAACTAGCCAAAATTACCGTCAAAGGATCTGTCGCTAATTTGTCTTTCCCTTCTATGCTTCTCATGGGAGTCTCAGATTTTATCATAACCGCTAGCGAAAAGCTTGATTTTAAACTTTTTCCATCAGAGCTTTCTTTCTCGGGATACGTATGACCGGGCTCTTGGACGTGACGTAATTAACGGTCGCTCAAAGCTCACAGCGACAATTTGCCTCCCTCCGGGGGCGGGCACAGTGCATCGCGAGTGTCATCGTGAAAATGACGGTTTTTGCTCATTCACAAACGGGTTAGCGGGCAAGATTGTAAAATACCGCCCGCTCTCGGAACCAATCAGATTGTAAGATTTGGAGGATTCCTCCCGCTCACAAGCTCGGAAAAAAAATAAATGTGTAATGTTTTTTTACAGTCTGTCCAAATATGACAACTTTGAATGAAATTTCAGGAGTGATCACCAGTCCTTTCTATCCCAGACATTATTCTACTAACCAAAGCTGCAGCTGGGAAATCAGGGCAAGAAAGGTAAAACGAATTATATTCACTATTGAAGACATGGATTTTTCTTGGTGGTGCAGTAGAGTATGGTATGAACGCCAACAAAAAAAATTTCTTAAAATTCATTTCCAATTCGCATATAATATTATGGTTTTATTTCTCGTTCATTCGGAACCAATCGGTAAATATATTCATAGTACACCACCGTGTATCTCCCTCGAAAACCAGATCCGATTTCAGACCAAAATGGACAAAGTCTATAACCGTTTTCAAACCAAAACGGCGCAAAAACCATACCAATTTCTTTCTAAAGGACAATAATTCTTTCTAGAATAATTTGAATAATCACTCGTGGTTTCCCCATTTTCCCTCAGTTCTTCAATCTGTCTTGCTAACTTATAGTAAAGATCCTCTCTGGGTCATGGTCATATACCTTTAGATTTTCACTACTTCCAGGTTCTTGACCCTGAGAAAGCAAATTTTGTATGAAAGCAGGTGTCTAATCCACTATGTAAACTTTTAGTTGAAAATAACTTAGGAG